ACTACTAACCTCAATGAACTCGGCTGTGCACGAGTCTAGGACAGTGCAACAAACGTAATTACAAGCACTTGATGCCCAAGACTAAGCCAAGTTCGTTACAAGCTGCTACTGAGGGTTTCACAATGCGACCGCCAAGTGCTGGTGTTAGTGTTGGTGTGGGCTAGCCCAGGGAGAAACACAACAATGTAGAAAGAAGGCACACCAAAGGCAACCAAAATTTTTATTATTTTTCTTATAAGCGGGAGAGAGAAAAAAAAGATGCGTGGGAATTTACTTGAGAAATTTATGTTTATTATATATGAACAAAGTACAAAATAAAAAAGGTAAACAGAAAAAATGAAGCTGAAGCCGTGGCAGAAGCAGAGGCAGAAGCAGCAAATGAAGTTGAACATTTTTGCTACCGTTTGACCAGACAAGTGTGTGTAGAGTGGCATGAAGTGAAGTGGCTGTGGTGGTACTGGGTAAAGGTGTTAGGGCCAAGACGCAAAGTCATCAACGTGCTTGTGGTTGCCATTGGCAACATCGTCATCATCATCCCTGTCGGTCTGCCATTGACAATTGCTCGTCTGAGAAGGCATTCTCCAACTTAGCATGCACTTTGGCCTTAAGCAAAGGGCTTTATGCCCGCGCTGCTACCTAATCCCATTAAATTCTCCTGCTCTGACATGGCCGTGAAATACCATTTCATGCTCTATGCGGCAGGTACATACATATGTACATACACAAACTTCTACATGAATTTTTAATGTTTTAATTATGGATTTTCATAAGCGACCGCATTGCGTTACAAATGTCGGCCGTGAAAATGTTGCGTAATTGTTTGTTGATTGCTGTGACACGTTGCGTGGTCCCAAGCCGTTGCTACGCAATACAATAGAATTATTCTTGGGATAGGTAGGTGTAGGAATACGCATTAGAATTCTAAATAAAATGTCTCCGATTTTGTAGGATGGTACAGCTTGAACAATATCTAAAGTACATAACTGAATAACGTTCATACAAATTTTATTGATTTTTTAAGGCATTGTTGATGCTCGTGAATATTAATTAAGTAACCATAGACAGTAAAGATTCAATGTGTTCATCAAGAATTACACCTTTTAATTCCAAAATAATTGTAATATTAATTAAATCTCTATGGGTATTCTCGTTCGATACCATTTCGGACATATAGCTAAATTACAATTTACTCTTTACCGTAGCTTTGCCTCTAAGCCAACTCTTAATCCCTGTTAATCCCTGATTTGCTGGCCGGACCATACAGCTGACACTAATTTTGCTTTTCTTTTTTCATACTTGGAGCTTCTTTCAATTTCATAATTAATTATTGTTTTCACTTTACTTTCTTTCAGTGTATACATGCATATTTCCTCGTTAATAAACACTTTTATATTCCACAAAGATTATTAAAACCTTTTGCAAATTTTAAGTTTTTTTTCTAAACAACATTTATATACATATGTTCTACTGTTTTGGTTATTATATTATAAGCAAGAAGCTACAATAATTTTCATTTTACGATTGAAAGCTAAGTTCTTTTTTGTTCCTTCGTTTGTGAATTATTCACCACTCATTAAAACACTAACAACATGGTTCCACAAAGCTCCAATTAGAGCCCATAATTAACTGTTAAAAAACAATCCCAAATATGTACATACACGGGTTCAGATGTATGTAAGCCCCATAATACACGCACTCCACAATGTTGAGCGGGCTCTTCCGTTGCATGTTTTACAATCCGTTGGAAGAAGGAGGTGCGTACAAGCAACCTACAAACAAATTCTTGGAAACCAACACAATTCACAAACCTATTTACATACATACTTATGTATAAGCCTAGCTGGCAAAGTTTGTTCACGTTTCGGGCTTATTCCCTATATACTTGTACATACATATACTTGTATATAGTATTTTTTGCTTGACTTTGTGTTTTTCTATACACATTCTATGTATTCTGTGACAAACTTCTCTTTTCTTTACTTTTTCATTTTCGTTGCCCAGCTAGCCGTGTGATCCAAAACGCTCTAGGCCTTAAATGTCAAGCACAACACTGAGCCATCATTCTAAAACAAACAAAAGCTTTGAAACAAGTTTAAAAGCGGTATGGAAAGCAAAAAGAAATTGTTAACAAGCTGATGAGCAGCATTCAATGGCACCACAGATTTTGTATCTTTTATTATACTATACAAAAATACTTGTATATAGATAGTGACAAAATTATGATATGATGTGATGCTAGGGGTCTTTGCCTTAACTGTCCATCAAAGGCGGTGTTTATAAAACTTTTCGATTTGACTTGTTGCGTATTGTTGCCGATTTCTTAATCTTTATACCACATTTTTTTAACTCACTTGGCTTTCAAAACACGTGTCTTGTCACAAAACAAAACAACAACAACAACAATATAAAAATGCTGTTGCTTATTATGCATAACATAATTGTTATAATGCTCTGGCATAAAACTTATAGGGTTATCGCTGTGAAAATGTCTTATTATGCATAATTTCTAGACATTAAAATGCGCAACTCGTAAATCTATAGAAAGTCATAGAGCTGCTGAAGGTGGGCTTTAAGGCAATTGACAAACTGAACGTTTCTATAATGGCTATGTATGAATGGCATTTCATATGAGGTCGATGTGCTGATCAATGCATAAATATTTAACTCCTCGGGCCTCTTCAACTGTTTTCTATGATAACGGCAGTTGCTGCCATATATGTACTTCCTATCAAGAAGCAAACTTTGGTAATAAGATCCTAAGCTTGGAATTATTCTCATTACCGTAATAAGTATACACAGTCCCAGGCATATTGTAAGACCACACGCTTAAGATCCCAAAGAGGCGCCAACTTCCAACCAAAAAAGTCACTAGCGCCATAAATTCAGTTGTCGTTGTCCCAAATGTCCCAAGAAGAATACGAGAAAGACGGAAAATTGCCACGAAAAATGCACCGCTTCCCAATTTTCAGCTTCGTTTTCTACGTTTTTCTTGCCCATTTCCTAAGCATTGAATTCCTGTCTGCCAGGCGTTGCTACACACAAACATACATACATACATATATTTAGCTACATATAGCACAAATATCTTGTGTATAGTCATGCATATATGTATGTATTTATATAGCGCCTATTTTCTTCTAATTTCTTTCATTTCTACATGCCTTGCTCTATTTTTGTAGCGCATTTTTAGCGTTGTTTTCAACTAAACCAAAAAAAAAAACATACAAAAACAGAAAAGAAAAAAATCAAATTATAAGAATTTTATATATACATATATGTATATGTACAAGTATGTACATATGTATGTATAACTCAATTTTCATTAGAGCCGCAAGGCGTTCTTTGCTTTTCTTGTTGTTATTCTTGGTGTTGCCGGTGGCTGAACGGCTGCTGATTTTTATTTCAGTTTTATACTTATGTTCCATTTTTAGGCGCATAGTTTGGACTTTGTTTTGTTTGCTTGCTGAAGAAAAGACTAAAAGCGAGGCACGTCTGCCTCGTCTGACTTTGTGGACAAAAAAAAAGCAAAAAACATACAAATCAAACGGAAAAAGCATTTCCAAACTGCCCGCCAGCTAATCAGTCTGCATTTCATCCACTCTTAATTATGTTGTATCGAATTCTCCTCTCCTCTGGTCTCCCCTCATCAGACAACTAACATATACTGGAAGATGTTGCACTACTATTTATCATTTTATGCTCAAGTTGCTATAAATTATAATTCCTAAGGCGCTGAAATGGTCAAATTTTATGCACGTTGCGTGCACTTTGACTTCAAACCCCCCTGTTGCTAGCATTTTATGTTTGCTCTCCGGGGCGCAATGGGAACAACTGGGAGTCATAAAAAGGCAATACAAGCGCTTATTTATGGCACACATTGTCATTGTACGCATGTTATTGTGCGATTAGATCGCATTTGCATACAAAAATATTGAAAGTGCCTTGTGAATATATGTATACGATATTTTAGCTGAAGACGAAGTTCCAAATTCAAACACTTTGGAAGAGCAGCAAAATCAATGAAATTAAACTTCTATCCAAATTCCAGGGCACTTTATAGCGTTATGTTTTTCTGTTTTTATTCCCATCTTTATGTTTCCCGACTGTCAACAGACACAATACATTTCGCAATTAGAGATTTTGTTTTAGATTTGAAGCTAAACACGTTATTTTTCATCACTAAGTGATAACATCAATCAATCGTTCAGCTTTATTGTGTTTTGTTAGGTTTTATGTTTGTTTTGTTGTTCAATTGTGCTGATAAGTGAATAAAACCCACCTACTTGTTTTAAGATTTATCGAAAAGAGGAGACTCGGAGATGATCTCAAAAGGTGTAGATTTAACAATACATAACAGAAATCTTTCATTATCATCAATTCAAAGCGTAATTACACCTTCTTAAGCCGTAAAAGAAAACGAAATAAAGTTATTCTTTTGATTGAAACTTCTCCGAAATTATTATTGAAGTTAAGCAGGACTTGCTGTGAAATGTATCGAAAGAAGTACCGTTCAAGGCTCGAAGACTGCCTCAAAGGATGTAGATTTAACAATGCATAACTGAAATCTTTCATTAGCAGCAATTTAAAGGGTAATTGCAACTTATCCTTTTTATTCTATTATATTCTGAAACTAAGATTCAAGTTAAGCAGAACTTGCTCTGGCATTTTTTTTTTTAATTTCAATAATAACTGAAATCATTTCATGATCTTCAATTTAAAGTGTAACCCCAACTTTCTTTAGCCGTAAAGAAATCGAAATAACAAATACATACCACGATTAATGCAATTGTTTATGGCATTTTTAATAAATAAATGCAAAATAGTCATTAAAAAATCAAAATTGGCAGTAATCCCCAAAGGTGTGTTGGGGTGTGTTCGTTCGTACGTGAAATTCCAACTGCACATTAATGGCAATATTTATATGTTTATTATTAACACAAGAAATGGCAAACTAAAGAAATGCTTTTAAGTAAAACCCAAAACTTTTGCCACAGACTTACCATAAAAAGCTGTTAATCTTCGTGTTCCAATGGCAGCACTATAAAAAATTGGTTAAGCCTGCAAAAGAGAATAAAGTACAAAATGCATTAGATAAAGAGTTCCAGTTCAGTTTCTTCGAATCGTAAAAAAAGTCGTTAAAATATGACTATTTATTTATTGCTTTCACATGAAGTTTAAGTGTCATTTTAATCTGCCATAAAAGCGCAACATTTCAAAGTGTTTCTCGTGTATGCGGGTTAGAAAAAGTAAACAAGATAAAACCATTTTTCACTCAAAAGCGGGTCAGTTTTTCTGCCGTGGATACAAAGAGCATTTAGGCTTACTTTAAAGTGGGACAAGCGTAGACAACCATGACATAACTTTAACAAAAGAAATTAAACATTTTCTGAGTTACATTGCAGTGACGCAGGTAATTAGAAAATAATTTATATAAATTGAACCGATAGATAATTTAATCAATTTTAAATACAAGCACATAAACACCTCTATTTCTCTAGATGTTTGAGACCTGAATTTTTGGCATAAAATAGACCATTATTTTGGCACTCAATATTTTTGAATTTTCCTCTCATAATAACTTTTACTCATTTAATTTGATTTAGTATTAAACTAAAAACTTCAGGGCAAAGTTTAAACGAAATGGCATGAACTTTAACTATTTTCCAACACTTAGTTGATTCTTGATATTTTCAGGACAAATAGTGAATTGAAATAAATCATATTAACACTGGGATAAGTTAAAAGTAGGTTAAAAATTCAACAAACAAAATTAACTAATTTCTTCTAATGCTATAGTTGAGCCCCAATATTTTAGTTTACATACTAAAGGCGTTTGCTTTTGGAAATCTGCTTATACAAAGGCAAAAACATTATCGATCTGCATATAAATCACTTACAATTTGCACACCACTTATGAGTATCCAATATTTTTAATTATGTACGAGCCGGTTCTATGTTTAGTCGCACGCCCTCGAGACGGCAAACACAGTCCTCGTAATTCAGCTTTCAGACACACTTTTCTTAACACTAATGCACGTCGTATTTTAATTTTTTTCGCGCAAGTGAAATTCCTCAGCCTCAGCCAGGCAGCACGCAGCATAAAAATAGTTTCAAATCTTGCTATTTTTCAATTTGACAGCCGAAAAAATAAACAAATAGCAGCAGCAGCAGAGGCAACAAATTAAACAAATATACGCAGTCAACACAGAAATATTTCGCTTAGAGAGCAAGCTAGCACCAAATCAATAATGATTAAACACATTCTTTTCTACGCTTAACAATTAAAATTGATGAGGCACAGTTGTAGGCAAGACTGTCGATTGTCAAATGATTGGGCCAACAAAACAAATAGGCGAAGAACTTCATCAAGTTTGCTGCCGTTGGCAAAATTTTGACAAATCTGCCCATTTTTTTCTCTCTGTGGGATCTACTCGTACAAGTATGTACAAAAATGCTTTTAGCCGGCAGCGAATGCGTGTGTGACTGTTGCTGTTTCAATTAAGAATGTTGATCCGTTTGGTGTGCAAAAATAAAATTTTATTGCCTGCATGGCGCCAAAGCATATTCACGCTCATCTCTTTGTATCTCACAGTTTCAATTAGGCAGCGGTTTTATTTTCATGACTCTGTTATCTGTTAGATGCGCCAAAAGTAAAATTGCTCAAGATTCATGCGTTTTTGCAATTTATTTCAATTGGCCGAGCAATAATAAAGCTAATAAATGTATAATTAAAACGAAAAATACAATTAAAGCACGCAAACTTGTTCAAATGGTGTGGCTTGAGTCTTAGGGGGAGCCCAGTCTCTTATAATTGCTATTGCCAGATCAAACGGCATATGAGAAAATAGCCACAATTTTCAAGAATTAGTCATCATTCAAAGGCCTCCTCCTTTGATCAAGCAAAGGGTTTGTTTTGTTTTGTTTTTTTGCCAATCTAATTGGTTAAAAGTTTCAACGAGCCATGCATAGGAAAACAAGAAATGGCAGTGTTTCGATTAAATGTAGAGAATGTTGAGGACCACACCCAAAAACAATTCAAAATTGTTACTATGCAAGTGCATATCTATATGTACCCACTTGTATAATGTGAAGGTGCTTAGTATTATTTTATTGAGGATATCGTACACCTCCCCTTCTCTCAAAGTCGTACAAAATAAATAAACGTTGGTACTGCACCGATGTCAATTAAACTGAATACCACATAGCACATAGTTAGACACAAGTAAAAACTCCTACCTACACGGTAGCTTTACAAAATAAGAAAACTTTATAAGATATGTGATAAAATAAATATATCTGTGTATGGCTACGAAAATATATATATTTATTTATAAGAAGGTGAACTTTTTAAAAGATTTTGAATTTATATTGTATGATTTTCAAGCATACTACATTCAGTATCGTCTTTTATTCATAAAATGTTATGACATTTTTCGAATGAAAGTGCATTTAATTATCGCATGATCGATTTAAAAACAAACAAAATATGAACATCGTATGTTCTATTTATCAAAAAAGAAAATGCGGAAGTTCAAACTTGCACTTTTTACAGACAGCTGCAAATTGTCACGCATGCGCAGTAAACAAAGCTCAGAGCTTTTTTTACACATCGAAGAATCAACAAACTGTGTTTACTATCCATTTCCCCAATTTATTGCGTTCTAAACACTTTCCACATCCAAAAAAATATAATTCCAAATTAAAAATATTGCCAAAAAAAAAGGCAGAGACCATTGTTATGCACCGCTTTAACTTTCTACCACTAACCCAGTTAAGTTGTTCAATGACAGAGTAAAAAGACAGACAGACAGACGCACGTACATAATAAACTGACGCCTGGCCTATGCCGATGACTGGGTCGTTCTTTATGGTGTATAGTGTATGGCATATGGTATATGGGCATATGGTCACGCGGCTTTAACTTTGCTTGGCTTGCTGCCTGGCTTTCTTTAGCAACGAGAGTAACGACAACAACAATAAGAACAACAACCGCTGTGCATTCAATAAGAAACGTTCATCAAAAATACATAAAGCCCCGTCGCTGCATTTCACCAGAAATATGCCCAGGCTAAAGAATGGCCATAGAATCGGTTAGACACATATGAATGAGCCATGTACAATGTGTCAGGCTAAATGAAAAGTTAATCAAAATGTTGACAATACGCGACAGCGGGCTTACAAATCGAAAGGCACTTGGAAAAACACGCCCCACTGCCTACACAAGAAGTTAAGTTAAAAGTAAGCAAAGCAACAATTGCTAGTCAAAGAATAGCGCACAGCGAGGTGCGTGACAAAATTACTAATTATTGTATAAATAAACAAACAGCTGGACAACGACAACAAAATATGACAAGTTGAAAGTTTTTTACAAAATACCCGGCACAAAAATGTAAAAATAAAAACATCATAAAGACAAACACAAACAAATTTATATTATGATGCCAGAAGAGAAAAATAACAAAAACTTACAATGTCAAGTGCATTTGGATTCTAATACGAATAGCTTCGAGTCTGGGAGAGCAGACATTACTTTTTTTTAATGCTTCTTAATTTTGATAACATTTTTGCATTACTCATAAACTAATGAAATGCTTTTCGGACTGTTGAAAATACCCGTGAACCTATTATATATACATATTAGATAAAAGTAGAACTGATAGCTAATCATTTATGTGTGTGGGTGCATTATGGAAAAGTTTCCTTAAAAAATCCCCTTTCCATTGTAATCAATACTGAGAACGATTAAGTAAAAAGCTTCAAAACTGATTATTTAAGGACTGTAGTAGTAGTAGTTACCAATATGTATGCTTAAGGCATTAAACTCTAACGAACTCTAACAGACCTATACATATTTCATAATTACCAAGAGTCCAAAATTAAGTAGATAATTTGGATTATATCTGCTACACTTTTATGTTGCCTTAACTTTTCTCCTCCCTGCAGACCAAAAAACATATTTACTATTTATCTTATGTAGATCCACAACTTAATAAGCCTTTGACCATTCAATTTCTAATTCGATCACAATGAACTTCCTTACGTAAGTACCACAAGGCCTAACTAAAATTTGAATTCTTATTTGCAAAAAATAATAAACAAATAATATTAGAATTCAAGAATTTACTAAACAGAAATTAATAGGTAAGAGAAACTTGAAAACGTACAAGAGAAGCTGTTCATGAAGAACAGCTAAAAACTTGTGGGAAAAACCATTGTAATCTCACAATAGAGCATTAGAGATCTTACACGACATAGTCAGTTGTGTATATATTAAGGAGCCGATTCAAATAGTTTCTCGTTTATATAGTCGTATAAAAAGCTAAACATTTCAGACATCCTAAACGGGCAGATGAATCTAAATCTTTGACTATTAGCGTGTGGATAATACATATAAAGGCCTATTGTACAGATAGCCAATTAGAAAGGTTATTAAGCAGAAGCATGCTGTAGTAATAGAGCATCAAGAAATCCATACAGGTTATAAAACCATTCTGCCTGTTATAAAGATAAGGGGTCATTTTAAAAATTGAGTTCACAAAACGCAACCCCAATACCATTTAACTCTTTCGATCCAATCAAATAATAGTATCGTATCTTATACTCAGTACAATTAGAATAACTTCAAGCCTTATTTCCTTTTTTATACCCTAATCGAAATATTAATCCCTCAGTTTAGAATGGTGCATCGACTACTACTACTACTATCCACCGTCATTAAATTTGCGCCTAGAGGCAGATCCCAGACTTACTAAGTAACACAAAAGTACTAACAGATGATTAGGACGACTTTATACGCTTAACATACTGCTATTGTTATTGATAGAAATATTATTGCATATACATTTACTTATCACCTTACACATAACTATGTCAAGCTTATTTCGCCAGACAAAAAAAAAATAGTGTCGCTAAAACAGATCAAAGGCAATAAAGTGATAAGCCAGCGTCTACTATACTCTGCCACACACAGGTCTTATAAATAGTAGCTCGTTGATGCCTTGCAGTCATTTGCTGCTGACCAAGCGGAAATTGGCTATTAGCTTACAAGGGAGACTGAA